AAAAAGTTATGTGTGCTGCAACACAAAGATTCAATTTCTTGTGCCAAATCACCCCTTCTTACTCTACTCAAAATGAATTTTTGTGCAGGGAAAATAAAAGAAAGTAGAGCACATAAATAAGTTATTCAATGTTAAATAATGAAATTTGTATTTAATATTTACAAAAAAGAAATATTGATGAAGTTATAATTCAAATATTCCATTTATTAAAATGACGTAGAATTTCACATTTCAAAGTCTAGCTTTTAAATATTAAGCATATTTAACAATCATAATTTTTTAGTCATTTAAGCACGAATTTTTAAAATATTGACAAAAAAAAGAATTCAATCACTACAAAATTCCAGTTTAAAGTCATGATCAAAATATTGTTATTGTTTTTAATTTTAGGTGTACTGTTGCATTTACAACCGAACGTTTTGTTGTGGTTGCTTATCCATTAAAACGTTCACAATATAATTCATCAACACGTGCTCGTTATGCACTTATTTTACTTACATTTTTAGCTATATTACTTTATTCACCATCATTATGGACATCAGGTATTGAAACAGCTAAATCCGAACGATCAGCATTACCTCCATATGAAACACGTTGTGTTACATTACGTCAATGGCTTAAATTTACACGTCAAATGAATATAATAGATTTCTTTTTAACATTTATCATTCCTTTTTTAACGATAGTTACATTGAATACATTAATTATACTTAAATCAGGTCAATATGATCGTTTATTAGAACGTAATTATATTCAACCATCAACATATATATTACATAATTTATTAGAACATCGATTACGTCGTTCGAAATATCATCGACGTATAACAAAAATGTTATTAATTATTTCGACAACATTTTTATTATTAAATACACCAATGCATTTATTAAAAGTTTATTATTTTTTCTTTTCAAATGATGATACATATGATGAAAAATCTTCGTATGAATCAACTATTGAAATGTTGACATTTTATTTATTTTATACAAATTTTTCGATAAATTTTTTTCTTTATTCATTATGTGGAAAAAATTTTCGTTTATGTCTTATGGATTTAATAAAACATTTTGGTCAATCAAAACAAACAAATAATCTTTTAACAAATGGTTTAATTATAGCTGGTAATACGGCTATTGGTGAAAGTCCTGTTGGTCGGTATTTTCGACATACGCCACGTACACATCATCAACGAAAACTATCTAAACAAGATAATAGTAGTACAATTAGTAGTGGTGGTTATAAAGCAAATCCAATTTTATCAACATTTCATGCAGCTGCAAATGTTGCTGCTGGTAAAAGTCAACAGATGATACATCAATCATCAACTAATTCATCATTTAAAAACAATTCTTTAAAAATTGAATTATTAACAAATAGATCGACATCAACGGTTTCGAAATTTTATCCAACATTTACGATAAAGTGAAAGAAAAACTAAATGATATTGATTTATTTGTTTCGTTTTTTTTTTGTATATACCTCGAACGTATAACGAATAAAGAGGACATACTTTTTTTTATTGTATAAATTATTGTTAGAAAAAAAAGATAAATATGGTTTACGGGTTCAAATTACTTTAATGAAAAATTTTCATCTTTTGAAATATTAACTTCATTTTTTAGGCACACTTCAAAATTAAATATTTTGATTTCCATCTGATGATAAATACTTTGCACTGATTAACAGACAGATTGTTGATTTCTTTGTGCACAAATATGTATGATACGTTGGCTAGGCTTCAAATTAATCACATGTAAATGTTCAAAAAATCTTCATGTTCAAAAATAAAATTATATTTCATATATTAAATTCTTTTTACAGATTGTCTTTATTTTTCATTTGCTTTTACATTATTTTCATCATATGACTGATTTTAAAACTAAGTTACAGAAAACTATACAATAGCATCAAATATTGAAGAGGCAGTGTTGGTGTAAATACCTAAGAGTGACTGATCGATATAGGAGGCACTGGGCCAGAGACTACACTGGCATCGATGTTGACTGACTATACTAAGTCGGTGGTCAATTAGCTGAAATTGCACATTTCTAGTTATACAGTAGAAAAAAGCGATGAAAATTGAATTTTTTTTATATTTTATTTACAAGAAAATAATAAACAAAAACTGCACTGAATCGAATCGTTTTTTTTTTGTTATTGATACAGTTCATTGTTCTTACATAATCGATGAATATTTCGTTTTATATTTGTTATGGCGTATCAGAAAGAGTAGCAGAAATAAGTAATAATGTAGCTGTGTTATTCAAAGTAACATCATTCTCAGTAATTGTTGTGTCATAAACAAGAGAACATGTGTGAGTTTCATTATAAAAAGTTAATGCTGCACATCCATTTGATAATAAACATTGACAAACACAAGTAGCAATTGTTGAACTTGATATTGTTTCATTTTTATCTCTATGTGCAAAACCTATCAAAAGATGAATATCAATTTTACAAGGAAAAAACAAAAGATGTTGTATTGTACTTTACCATCATAATATGTGTAGTTTCTACAAAAAGCACTGAGAATAATACAAAAGAGAAAGAGACACGTACGCCACATAGTGTTTTTCATTTTTTAAATGAGATGTGCCATTATTTTCCAGTTCTTCTTCTAAATATATATATATATTATGCTATTTAAAAGTAAAAATAAAATGAGGCAACAAAAAAAAGTTTTTTTTCCAACTGAGAAATGAGCAAATAATATTTTTCTTAATGATTTTGAAAGTACTTTTTACTCTTTTTTTTATTTCTTAATAAAAAAAATAGAGTATTAATTTTTTTTTCATATAATGAGAAAAACTGATTCTTGTGTAAGGAATATAATGGCGATGTGTAAATTAATGTCGATTAGAAAACATTAAAAATATAGAGTGAAAAAAAAAAGAATCTGTATGATGCTCTTCTTCTTCGTAGAAGTAATTCTTTTTATTTTATTGGGTTTTACTATCTGATTAAATAGAATCAGTTTTGAGAAAACGTTTGATCATATTGAATACGACCAATACCACTAAATTGATTATTAAAAATGTTGTTTTTTGGTTCAGTTAAAATTCGTAGAAGAAATTCATATTGTTTAAACTATCATATATTTTCCGGATAATAATAATGAATGGATGAAATATTAAATTAATTTATCTATAAGCTATAAGCAAGATTATGTTCAAAATAATTCACAAAAAAAAAAGAATACTTTATATAATTGTTTTCTTATACAGTAGCATTTTATCTTTAGAAAAAAAATCAATTCGAGAGAATCAACAATATCTGTATTTCGATACATAAATTTCAAAATAAATAATGAGTTTCGTATAAAATTACAAAGAAATTCTGATCGTAAAATTCATTTGAATTGTATGTCAATTTTTATATTTCTGTCAAACGTGGTTATTTTCGTTTTGAATTATTATAAATAGTGTATAAGATGATCCTTTCAGCAACAAAGAACATTTTTATATCACATTGTATTCGACATTTGTAATTTAGAAGGACATGCCAGGGTGGCCGAGTGGTTAAGGCGTTGGACTTAAGATCCAATTCACAATAGTGAGCATGGGTTCGATCCCCATCCCTGGCAACTTATCTTTTTCTTTTTTATACCATTCTGTTCTTTGTAGAAACACCTGATGACGTCATACAGTAATATCATAAAAAAGTAATTGCAACAGAATGCGTAGGATAGGAAATGCCTATATATATATAATATATCTTGGAATGCCACTACTGTGCAATGCAAGGACATATAATATTTAATATCTATTCTTTTATAGAAATTTCTCTTAAGAAAAACATAGTAAAATTATGAAACAGTATAGTTTAATCTATAAAACTTTAATTGATTAATAGTTTGTATTCATACAATAAAACATTGATTCAAATTATGATAAGAGATTAATCAATTAGAATATGCATTGCTCATGTTTCTGATAATACAGAAGATGTTCTTCTAGACGAATGATTAATTGTTAAATATTGTCCAAGAATTGCCAAGACATTTTGTATGATCATAGAATTAATTTGAAGTAATCAACAACAAAAAATACAAATCAAAAGATATTTTTGATGATATTAATGAATTTTATACAAGTTTAAGTTAGAAAAGGTTTTTCATATTGCAGTTTGTTGATTAAGAAAGATTCATGAATGATTTCATTTTCTTTTTGAAACCAGTCAAAAAGTTTGAAATTATCATCTATAAACTAAATTCATACTCAAAGTAATGTTGTCTAAAGGAAACTACGGATACACAAAAATTTGGATCCGCAACGCCCTTCTTGCTTGATTAGGTTTACATAAATACAACTAAAATTATTCCATGCAACTGAAAATTTTGATGTTGTTGTTGATTTGACGAATTTTGTTTATCAATTAATTGTTCAATTTCTTTTTTTTTGTTAACACAATGCTCTTTTCAACCAAGCGAAAACTTTAAATTTATTAAGCATCAATTGATCGAAAAGTGAACAACAAATCCTTAACCTTCCACTTGTTCATGTGTACAGAGGGTGTCAGATATTGGTAGAAAAAAATTCCGGTCTAACTCGGTTGGTTTCGAAGTTTAAATTATTGTCGAGTCCGAGTTCACAAAGACATAAATCTGCAACTCTTCTATATTTTTAGAGACATAATAACTTTATTTTGAGCGACTAGCAGTAATTCATAAGTCGGAGCATGAGAATAATAGTCTGGTAGAGATTTAGAATTTTTATTGAATTAAGACAAACATTTATATATGAGGATACTATCATCAGACATTAATTGACATTGATAAGCTTTATTGTTCTTTAATATCATTTATCGTTGTTTATAAATTATTAATTTTAATTTCTTCTTTCAATATTTTTAATCTTCTTAGTGACAACATATATTAAAAATTAACTTGATTCTTCTTCAGATCGGCAACACCCTATACACTAATTTGTCTAGCTGGCCAAGCACATTAAAGAGTCTGGATACCACAGTATTGCTGGGCTGAAGAAGTACCCAATGTCATAGTGTAGATTATATGACTAAAAGCGACAATGGTCACTTCTTTTTTGAAGAACAAACAAATTTTTAATAAATTATTTACATAGAATCATTACTTTCAAACCTTTACATTTTAATTATTGCTAAATAAGTTTAATGAATCATCAAACAGTTGATTGGTTCGACGTATAGCTACTCGACGTTCATTCATCGATTATTTATTTAAAAAATCCTAACATGTAACTAAAGAGGAGGACAAAAGAGGTCGATTCCTGGCAACGCTTTGAAACTTAGAACATGGAATTGCCATACACATCGTCTAATCTTCTATAACACCGTTGTTGTCAAGAGCATCCACTTGTCAAGTGGTCCGATCGTAAGTGATCTACTATATTACATCTGTCAATCATTTATATGACAAAGCGTTCTGTTCTTTTTTTGTCACTTAGTTAATTACGTAACAGATGGATACACAACGACGATTTCCAAATGCAGGACCCTTGTTACCTGACTTGCCTCGATCGTGAGATATTATATTTAATTAATACTAAAAGTTCGTTCTATTTTGTTTTAGACCTCAACCGTCAAATGTTCCAACACCATCATCTCAACTTATGCCTATTGATGCACGTTTTCCTCCACCAATGTTACCTCCCATAGGTGCACAATCATTACCAAATCCACCAATATTTCCTTTACGAACTGGTACTCAACCACAGATGTAATTTTTATTTTCTTTTAATCGTTTATAAAAGTATATATTTATATTAATTTTTTAAATTTATTCAAGGTTTGATGATTCATTAAATCAATCTCTATATAAAGTAAAACAATTAGAAAGTCGACTACAAATGACAGAAATATCTAATCGTGCTTTACTTGAAGAAGTTGTTCGTTTACAAACTGAATTATTCAATGCTGTATGTATATATATTTAATTATTTCTCTTATTGAAAAAAAAAAACAGAAAATATAAATATTCATTGTGTTTTTAGATTCGTCAAAGTCAAACAATTCTTCAAGAAGAACGTTTATCTCGTCAACAAATAGAAAATAATGTTCGTATTCAAAATGATGTTATTCTACAATTAACAGCACGTATTAAACGAAATGAAGATACATTTAATGATGAACATCAATCATCATTATCAGCTAATGCAAGTGTTCGAGGACTTGAACTACAAATAGCAGCTATACAAAAAGAATATTTTTTTCGACGTGATACTCAATCGCTTAGGTTTGAATTCTAATCAACGAGATTTTCATTTGAAATTAATGATTTTTCTTTTTTTTTTATTAAATTCAGTGTCGAAGGAATTCGAAAACAACTTGGTGAAACTAATATTCAACGAGAACAATTAGAAAAAATACAATTTAATCTAGTTGAAGAACTTCGTTCTATTCGTAATCGTTTAGAAGCTGATTCATCTAATTTTAATGCATTGACGAATG